TTTGTGGGTTAAACATAGGCACTGAAGTAATACCAATTTTTAATGCTCTGTTGAGAATTTAAAAATGAAAAGATAAAGTAATCCTGACATATCAGAAATTGATCAGGTATGGAAAATAAGAGGTAAAATGGTTGAACACATGCAATAGCTGTTTCCGTAAAGTTCATTGTGGACAGGTTATTCATGGACGACTTTCCACATGATTGTGTATGAGATTAGGTCTTCTTCAGCCTCCAGGATTCTGGTTCTAGGGTATAGCAAGTCATTGAATAATGTTTTGTTGTAGTATAGAAACTTGTTTAAATTAATGAGAGTATGGTAAAATAGGTTTTATTATGTCGGTTTGCAGAACTATTGACAGTGCTGAGGGCTTAATGTACATACTATGATTGTATGCCACCACCAGATGGCAGTAATGTGCAGTACTATAGAAGTTATTTGAACAGTTGGTAGTTTTATGTTCAAATGCAGATTTATAATTATTAATCATTTCTACATTGTGTACAGAATCTATGTTTTAATTGAAATGGTTAAACTGAACATGCATATTTTTAAGCTGTTTTAAAGTACTGTGATAGCTTTCATAAGAAAGTATTTAAGGATATTTTGCTCTGTTAGAGGAGAATAGGATGGTTACTACCCCTTTTTAAAATCTGACATAGCTATTTATAATAATTTAGTTAGTTGTCAGTGTCCTAGCAGTTTCTTTTAACTAGATGTTTTCTTAAAAGATTATTACAAAGATATAGTCCAGATTATAGAATATAAACTTCGTCTCTGATAAAGATCTGTGTGGCTTCTGCTTATTCTTGTTACAGAAGACAAAATTTAGATGTAAGAATCAGTTAGAATAATTTAGAAAATATCCATAATTCTCGGCTAAATACAATCAAATACACATGTACTGTTATTCTTAAGAATGAGGGATAAAGAATGTTGCCTGGAATTAAAAGTGTTTCATGAAAGAGGTGAGACTTAACATTTACGTAGAGATTTGGTGATTTTTTAGAGGAGCAAGAATAGCATGAGGAGAAGTATGATGGAATATGCACAGTAAATGTTATTGGAAGAGGCAGATCAGTCTTGCTATAGGTTAGAAGGTCTGTCTTGGGAGGACTCAGGGAAATAAAGAAGACAGTCTTTTGAGGGGAGAAAAGAGAGCAATTAAGATGCCATTGCAGTAGTTTAGTGAACAGTGATGGGCAGGATTAAGATAGTAGCTGTTGCATGGGATATGGATCTGAGTATGGGAAAGCAGGATCTATAGGACTGAGTGGCAGGCTGTGGGTAAGAAAGGAAAGGGAAAAGTCAGAGATGACTGGGGAAAATGTGGGCGCTGTCGATAAATATTAGGACACAGGAAGCAAAATCCTTTTTGAAGGTGCTGGTTTTATTTTTAAACATATCTTATTGATTATACTATTAACAGTTGTCCCATTTCCCCCCTTTATTCCTGTCTGCCTTGCACACTGCCTCCCACCCGAATTCTTCCCCTTTAGTTCATTTCATGTCCATGGGTTGTACATATAAGTTCTTTGGCCTTTCCATTTCCTATACTGTTCTTAACCACCCCTTGTGTATTTTGTACCTACCATTTATGCTACTTACTCCCTGTACCTTTTCCCCCTCTTCCCTCCTTCCACTCCCTTGCTGATAACCCTCCATGTGATCTCCATTTGTGTGATTCTGTTCTGTTCTAGTTGTTTGCTTAGTTGGTTTTTATTTTTGTTTTTTTAGGTTCAGTCGTTGATAGTTGTGAGTTTGTTGTCATTTCACTGTTCATATTTTTTATCTTCTTTTTCTTAGATAAGTCCCTCTAACATTTCATATAATAAGGGCTGGGTGTTGATGAACTCCTCGAACTTGACTTTATCTGGGAAGCACTTTATCTGCTCTTCCATTCTAAATGATAGTTCGCTATATAGAGTAATCTTGGATATAGGTCCTTTTCTTTCATGACTTGGAATACTTCTTTCCAGCCCCTTCTTTCCTGTAAGGTCTTTTTTGAGAAATTAGCTGACAGTCTTATGGGAACTCCTTTGTAGGTAACTGTCTCCTTTTCTCTTGCTGCTTTTAAGATTCTCTTCTTCTCTTTAATCTTGGGTAGTGTAATTATGATGTGCCTTGGTGTGTGCTTCCTTGGTCCAACTTCTTTGGGACTCTCTGAGCTTCCTGGACTTCTTGGAAGTCTAGTTTTCTTCCTGTCACTGTTGGTTCTCTGTACATTTTTCCTTATTTCACTTTTCATAGCCTTCATTTTTCCTCTATTTTGTGACCACACTCAACCATTTCTGTGAGCATCCTGATTACCAGTGTTTTGAACTATGCTTTTGATTGGTTGGCTATGTTTTTGTCGCTTAGTTGTATTTTTTTCCTGGAGTTTTGAACTGTTCTTTCATTTGGGCCTTTTTTTGGGGGGTGGGGGCTCTCCGCACCTGTTATGTAGTAAGGAGTGGAGCCTTAGGTGTTTACCAGGGCAGGGGCACAACCTATTTCACTTCATTGTAGAGCTGTATGTCAGGGATGGGTCAGAGAGGGAACAATGATGCTTGCTCTGCTCTCTGCTGGCTTTCAGTCACTTCCCCTGCTTCCCACAAGCAAATTGGGCCCTTCTGGTGCTGGTTCCTGGGTGGGTGGTTTTGTGTATGTTCTAGGACCCTGTGGGTCTCTCCAATGTGCTCTCCTGTGAGGCTGGGAGTTTCTCCTGTTGCTGCCTCAACCCTCACAGGCTTTTTCATTTAGAGGTTTTGAAAGTTTATTTCCCCATGCTGGAATCCTGTATTGCATGGTCTGTGTTGCTTCTAGGTTGTTCCTCCCAGTTTATCCACACACAAATGTAGAACTGCCTGCCACCACATCACCTCCCTGGTTTTCCAGTTGCTGCCTTGCCAAAAGTCCTCTCTGCTCAGCTACCCATCTCCACCCCTCCTACCAGTCTGCATCAGTGTTTCTTCAATTCCTTGGTTGTTGGACTTCCATACAGTTTGATTTTGTCAGTTATGTTTTTTTTGTTTTCAATTTGTTGTCCTTCTTTTGGTTGTGTGAGGAGGAAGTACAGTGTATCTATCTACGCCTCCATCTTGGCCAGAAGTCTCTTTTGAGGGTGCTGATTTTAGACATACTGAGTTTGTTGCTCAACTAAAGAAATGTAAAAAAAGAAAAAAACCCTGGCTGGTGTAGCTCAGTGGATTGAGCATGGGGCTGTGAAGAAAAGAGTCACTGGTTTGATTCCCAGTCAGGGCACATGCCTGCGTTGCAGGCCAGGTCCCCAGTAGGGGACACATGAGAGGCAATCACACATTGATGTTTCTCCCCCCCTCTTTCTCCTTTCCTTCCCCTCTCTCAAAAAATAAATAAAATATTTTAAAAATTTACTTTAAAAAAAGGAAACCTGACTTACCAATTCTGTCTCTCAAAACTCACTTTTCCTTTGTTCTAGAGTATGCGGGTTTCTTCCCCATGAATTTCTCCTTCCTAAAGGAACTCCTAGATGTAAAATTAACCAGTTAGCTCAAATCCTTCAGGTTGGAGACTCCAACATAATATGACAAATATAACATTTTTTCAGATAATGTATTCTTGTGAACTGAATTTCTAACCCAGAAGATTTCTTAATGATAGTTTTCTGTCACAAAAGTTGGCTAGCATCGATAACCAATGATGCTCACTTTACCACTTGTTCCAAATACCCATGCATAGGAGCTACTCTCAGACTTTAACTATAGAATTGTGCTTGTTTTTCAGTCATTTTTTCAAGACTTCAAACTTCTGAGGGTTTTCTCAAAATAATACTGGTTTCCAACTCCTACACAGCCCAGATGCCTTCATACGTGTTCTGCTTTTAGGTGTAGATTGCTGTCCTTAGAGAAATTTGCATAAATAGTGAAATATCACTAGAGTTGGTCTTTAAATCTCCACAGCTTTTATCAGAAAATAACACCTGAAATTCCTTCTGATCTTGTAAGTCATGCAAAGTATAGACTGATTGATGCCACCACTGGTCTGAAAGCAGAGCTTTTAGTCCTTAATGTCCTTAGAAAGTAGGTTGTCATCTGCTCTAATGCTCACATCTGGTAACCTACATTAAAATATTTTAAATGGCTAGACTTCCGAACCCAGAGCTCATTAATGGGTTCAAATACAAAGAATAATGTCAGAATACAAATCACTGATAATATATTTTGCAAATAAAATCTCATATCTTCAGAACTCTGGATTTGCTTAGCATATTTTTGGGTAGAGTTTATTTTTATTTTTATTTTTTTTAAAGGTTTTATTTATCTTTAGAGGGGCAGGGAAGGAGAGAGGGAGAGAAATATCAGTGTATGGTTGCCTCTCGTGTGTCCCCTGCTGGGAACTGGCCTGCAACCCAGGCATGTGCCCTGACTGGGAATCAAACCACGATCGTGTGGTTCGCAGGCCTGCACTCAATCCACTGAGCTACACCAGCCAGGGCGGGTAGAGTTTTTTTTTTTAATTTATTTAATTATTATTCAAGTACAGTTTTCTGTTTTTTACTCCCATCCCAGCCCACCCCCCCCCCAAGAGTAGAATTTTTTTTTTTTAAGATTTTATTTATCTTTAGAGGGGAAGGAGAGAGGGAGAGAAACATCAATGTATGGTTGCCTTTTGTGCGTCCCCTGCTGGGAACTGGCCTGCAGGGAACCAGCATGCAACCCAGGCATGTGCCCTGACTGGGAATCGAACTGCGATCTTCTGGTTCGCAGACCTGTGCTTAATCCACTGAGCTACACCAGCCAGGGCAAGAGTAGAATTTTTAATAAGAGCATTTTAGTCTATAGTATTATAGTTCGTTTTTAAATTATTCATTTAACAAATTATATACAAGTTCTAGAAGCTTCTAGCATCCTTAAAATTTGTTTTTAATCCTCAGTCAGGTTTTTAGTACACTGGTTTTCATAATAAAACACCCATGTTACAAAACTAAATGAACTTCTTAAAGTCAGTAAATACAAGGATCAGAGGTCTGTCAGGATTTTCATTGGGAAGAAGAGATTTTCATTGGGAAGAAATTTGATTTTCTTCATTCAGGAAATATTAGGATAATTGGGTTATCTGTTTATATTCTGAAATTTGCAGGATCAAACACTTAGAAGAGAAAAAGAAGTGCAGGCCAGGATTGAGTTTGAGGACAATTTGGAGATTATGAATAAGTCTCTGAAATACCAATTGGTGTTCAGTAGACTTGCCTATATAGTCCAGTGAAGTTTAAGTGCAGACGTGTAATTCATCTTTAATCCGTTATTCTAAAATTTTACTGGGATTTTGTGACAGACATTTATAAATCTCTGGTTTCCAGACATTTCCAGTTGAGGAAACTGAGGCACAGAGAGATCAAATAATTTGCCCAAAGTCGTCCAGCTTGTAAGTAGCACAGCTGGAATGTAGTAGTGGGGGTTATCTCTGGGTACTTTTTATTTTCCTGAATGGTTTTTGGTATTTTCCAAATTTGCAACAGCTAACATACTGACAATTATAAAGAGGCTTGTTTTTTGTTTTTGTTTTGTTTTTTAAAGAAAAATAGTGAGAATTATATAGGTATGTTAAAGGAAGGGTTGACTAAAAGCTGTGGAATTAAAGGAAGGGGAAATGATCAGCGGTGACTTTAAGGCTGCATAACTGACCTGCTGCTGTGTTGAACTTGTAGTCTTAATTGTTAGGAACTATTTAAATAAAATTAGGGACAATACTATTAAATTTACTACTGAGTAAATAATAATGCTAAATAAGTCATAAAACTACTTTTTAAAAAACTACTTTTTTTTGCAACCTTTTTGAGATTTATAGAAAAATTGAGAGACTATAGTACAGAGCTCCTGTATACACCCCTCAGCTGCACAATTTCCTGTATTGTTAACATCTCACATAGTCTGGTTACATTTTTAAATAGTAATGAACCAATGTAACGAGCTAGTGAACCAATATTGATGCATTATTAACTAAAGTTCATAGTTTATATTAAGGATCATTCTTTGTGTTGTCCAACTCCACAGGTTTGATGAATGCAGGATTTTTCCACCACTGGAGTATAGACTAGTTCCACCGTCCTGACAGTGCCCTCTGCTTTACCGGGTCACCTGCTCCCTTACCTCCACCCACAAATCTATGACAACCACTATTTCTGTTGTCTTCACAAAAAAATTTGTTTTTTCTAGAATGTCATCTATTTGGAATAATATAGTATAGAGTCTTCTTAGATTGGCTTCTTTCACTTAGGAATATGCACTTAATGTTACTTCATGTTTTTTCATAGCTTGAGTGCTCATTTCTTTTTATTGCTGAATAATACTCCATTGTCTGAATGGACTACCATTTACCATCTATTTATTCATTCACCTATTGAAGAAAATCTTGGTTGCTTTCAGGCTTTGGCAGTTGTGAATAAAGCTGATGTAAATATTGGTGTATAGGTTTTTGTGTGGATGTAAGTTTTATCTCAGTTGGGCAAATACCAAGGAGTATGATTCCTGGATCATATAAAAATCTTTGTAAAAAGCTGCCAAGCTGTCTTCCAAAATTGGTTTATCCTAATTTGCATTCTCACCAACAAAACATCAGTTTCTGTTCCACATCTTTGCCAGGATTTGATATTGTTAGTGTTTGGGGTTTTAGCCATTTTAATAGGTATGTGGTATCATTGTTGTTTTAATTTGTAGTCCCTTAATGACGTATGTAATACGATGCTGAACATCTGTTCATATGCTTATTTCCCATTAGTGTGTCTTTGGTGAGGTGGATGTTTAGATCATTTGCTCTTTTTAACACTGAGTTGATTTCTTTAGAGTTCTGCGTAGGAAGTAGAATGGCCTGATGTGGTAGCTTTCACACCAAGTGTGTGGTTAGCTATAGAAACAAAGATGATACTGTATTTTATGAGTTGCTTGTATTCAAAAAAGAGTCCAGTAATTGTGGAAGGAAAAAGGAATGGAACTGCCTGCTTGAGAACTGGTTTTGTTTCACTTATTTGTAGATTTTTTTTCTTTCGTATGATAAGATATCTTGTGTGATTGAGTGGGTGCCTATTTTTATCTCTCTACTCAAGTTGCTAGTGACCCTTCCACCAGCCTGGTAAGTTTTATTGAATTCAAAGCTTTGTTTGAGTAAATTATTCTTTTTATTAACTTAGGTACCTCGTAGAACTGGGTTGTATCAAACCGCTCTGTGATCTCCTCACCGTCATGGACTCTAAGATTGTACAGGTTGCACTAAATGGCTTGGAAAATATCCTGAGGCTTGGAGAACAAGAAGCCAAAAGAAATGGCACTGGCATTAACCCTTACTGTGCTTTGATTGAAGAAGCTTATGGTAAGATAAGAGTATAATTATTTTTTTAATTATTATTTTCTCTTTTTTAATTTTATTATTTTCTCTTAATAAAATTATTTTTTTTCTCTGTGCTTTTCTAGCTTGTCCATATCTGTCATTAGAGAACACATACAAAAAGTTGTTTTCTTATGAATAATATTTAGTATGCAGACCTGGAAAAGAATATGTGTCATAAATGTGAAGAGAAACGAGAACTGGCCTCTTCAGGTCTTCCCAGTTGCCTGACTGCTCTTCCTTGCCAGTACTCTTGATCCATACTAGTCCCTCTGAGCCTCAGCAACATCCACATCTATTGTAGATGATTCCTGACTGCTTTTCTCTTGGCAGATTGGGAGCTCTGATTATGCATTGCACCCAGCAGTTCCTGTGTTCCTAAAGAGTCCCTGGCTTTAAAGGTTTCTAATGAATAAGCCCTGGCTGGGTAACTCAGTCAATTAGAGTATCATCCTGATACACCATGGTTGCATGTTCAATCCCTGATAAGGGCACATACAAGAATCAACCAGCGAATGTATAAGTAAGGGGAATAGCAAGCTGATGTCTCTCCCTTTCTCTCCCTCTACTTCTCAGCCTCCCTCTTCCCTCCCCCCTCCCTCCTTCCCCCTCCCTTTCTCTCTCTCTCAAATCAGTTTTTAAAAAAGATTTTTAAGAGTTTCATCTTTAAAAGTTAACTTGGTTTCCTCATTCTTCTAATACCACTCTTAACTGTATTCTTAATCATTAATACTTTAACCTTTTATGTTCTTTAAGTGATTTTAATGCATAGTTAAAAACGGCATTAAACTATGCATTTAACGCAGGGTTAAAAACCACTGTTCTGGGGTTGCTCTGTTCTTGAGATTGGAATTAGGGATCATGGGGGCATACGTTCATTTTTCAGAATGATCAAAATGCAGAATTATTTTCCAAAGTGATTTTTTAAAAAGATTTTATTTATCTTTAGAGGGGAAGGGAAGGAGAGTGGGAGAGAAATATCAGTGTATTGTTGCCTCTTGTGCGTCCCCTGCCAGGAACTGGCCTGCAACCCAGGCATGTGCCCTGACTGGGAATCGAACCGTGATCGTGTCATTCACAGGCCCGCACTCAATCCACTGAGCTACACCAGCCAGGGCATAATAATGTACTGTATTCAGAGATCTTTCTCTACAGAAATAACTTTTGTTACTTTTTTGATTTATATATATTTTAATATGGATATATATGAGGGGGAACCCCCCCAAATTGGAATTATCTTCTGGAGGGCAAGACCCTTGTAGTACATGTTTCCTCTGCTAGGTGGGTGTTCTAAGAACCCATCTGTCCAAATTGGTGTAACAGCAGGTGTGAAAGGTCATGTTTGACTTAAGTGAATTTTGTTTCTAAGAGTCTTTCAGCACACTTGCCTGTTGCAAGATGAATGATTTACGAGTGTACCTGCCTACACCACACTGAGAGTTCAACACTTTTTAACCCAAAATGGCATAACTCCCATGCCCCACTCTTCCTATTCACCCAGTCTCGCCCCGAGTGACTTTCTTTTTTTTTTTTGTTACCCTGGATGAAAAAACTTCTCAAAGGGAAACGTTTTGCTGTTTGGCAGAGGTAAAACAAAAACAGCAGAAGCACTATAAGACATTAAAATCAACAAGTTCAAAAACTGTTTTGTGCAATGGAAAAAAGTCTTAATAGTGTATTACATTAAATGGAGAGTACTTTAAAGGTGACTGAAGTTTAAACATGCAAGAATACACTTTTTTTTTTGTAGATTAATCTCATTTTTATTTAAGAAAAACTATTAGTACTGGATAACGCTAATGGATGATGGATGAAACTCAGGTTTTTATTTTATTAACTTCTATACTGTTTGACATATTTTTAAAAATAAAAAGTACTATTGTACTTTATTATTATTTTTTAATATTAAATTTTATTTAGTTACTTTTCAAGTACATTTTTTTTTATCTATTTCTCCCATCTCACCCCACCCCCACCCCCCGCCCGGTCTCCCCCCTCCCTCACATTCCCCCCCCCCCACACACAGTCCTCATCTCTGAGAATACACATTTTTTTATAAATTTCATTTTTGGGGTCTTTCCTTGTATAAAAAGTGTGTATTTTTCCCCCTTTGAGCAATGTTACTATTTATTTCTGGTATTGCTCTAGCTGTTGGACTGCTCGTACCTGCAAGTAAAATAAAGCCTAGTTCAGAAGGACTTGAATTTAATAAAGGGAATGTGTTGGCTAATTGTTCTAGTTGGACCTGTGAGTTTAAACAATAGGAACTCATTCTGACTGATTTAAGGACATTACACATTTGTTGAAATGATACTGGATAGGTCAGAGTCTGAGTAGACAGAACTAGAACCAAGGACTAACTAGGCCATAGGTACAGTCCAGTAGGAACTCTGCTGCTACTGGCCTTAGGCACTGGATGAGATGGTGACCGTGGACATTGCTGCTTTTGGGGATAGGCCTCTGCTTGCATATGGGTTTAAGATGTTGGTTTGTAATACTAGAACTCAAGATATAATTCCAAGCAATACTGTCTGTGCTATTTCTAAATACAAGATATAAGTAGCGAAGAGTCTTCCTTTACCTCAGGGAAGGAGATATATTGGGAAACATTGCTACATTGGAATTTCCTATAGATAAACAATCGATTTTCTATTATTCTTTCTTCTAGGTCTGGATAAAATTGAGTTCTTACAGAGTCATGAAAACCAAGAGATCTACCAGAAGGCCTTTGACCTTATTGAGCATTACTTCGGTACCGAGGATGAGGACAG